GGCATCAGCACCAGCATCAGCATCAGCATCATCAGCATCATCATCGTCATCATCATTTGCAGCATCAGCATCATCAGCATCATCAGCATCAGCAGCATCATCAGCATCAGCAGCAGCATCACGTCATCAACATCATCATCGTCAGCATCACCATCGTCATCATCATCACCATCGCCATCATCAGCATCACCAGCATTAAACATAAGCGTAAGCATCATCATCGGTCGTCGTCATTGTCGTCATCCTCATCATCATCATCATCATCGTCATCATCATCGTCACCACCATCATCATCATCATCATCATCATCATCAACGTCATCATCATCTTCCGCATCAGCATCATCATCGACGTCGTCGTCATCATAATCATCATCATCAGCAGCATCATCATCATCAGCATCATCATCATCATCATCATCATCACTCCTCCTCATGACTCATCACTCCTCCTCCTCCTCCTTCTCATCAGTCCTCCTCCTCCTCCTCCTCCTCATCCTCCTCATCCTCCTCCTCCTCCTCCTCCTCCTCCTCCTCCTACTGCTCCGCCTCCTCCTCCTCCTACTCCTCCCGCTCCCCCTCCTCCTCCTCCTCCCTCCCACTACTACTACTACTACTACTACTACTACTACTACTTCCACCAATCCTCCTCCTCTTCTTCCTCCTCCTCCTCCCCTTCACCTCCTCACCTCCTCTACTCCACACCTCCTCACCTCCTCACTCCTCACTCCTCCCTCCTCACTCCTCACTCCTCACTCCTCACTTCTCACTCCTCACTCCTCACTCCTCACTCCTCATTCCTCACTCCTCACGCCTGACTCCTCACTCATCACTCCTCCTCCTCCTCCTCCACCACCTCCTCCTCCTCCTCATCATCCTCCTCCTTCTCCTCCTCGCGGTCCCCGCCGCAAGGCGGGGGGCCATCTTTCCCCCGACTCCTCGAGCCCCCGAGGTTCGCCTCGAAGTCCTTGGAGTCCGGCGCGGCGCCGTCCACATCCTCCAGATTCGGGATCGGCAGGCGCGCCGCCTGGAGCAGGAACTTCGTCATGAAGGACTGCGCCAGGATGACGGCGTGCATGGAGAACCAGATGGACGTGAGCAGCCAGAAGGCCGCGCAGCAAAAGAACGCCGCGATGAAGACGTCGATCTGGGTCTCTTCGAAGGTCTGTTTCTCCCACGAGGTACTCGTGCGGTCAAAGTTGAAAAAAACGGTAATGATGAAACCCAGTTTCAAGGTGTTCACGATCAAATAACTTTCCACCTTATCCATCGTCAGGGCCGCCATATCGCGGATGTCCTCACGGAAAAGGGCAAATCTGCACATGTTGATGTTCTGAATTTGAAAGGCCTTGTTCTGAAGCAGGGGCACGTCGAACATGTAATTGTCGCGATTGTACTCCCATAGGCTGTGTGCTGCGGCGCCTCCCGCGCCAGCAGCAGCCAGGGCCATCTTCTAAGCTATCTTCTCCTGCCGCGCCTCACAGGGGCGGGGGAGGATCAATAAGCATCGAATCTGGAAACGAAATCGCGCTTCGGCCGACCCTGATCTGTGAGAGTCCGAGCCAGAACGGCTGCGCAATGCACGCTGGCGATATGGCCCCCCTCATTCCTCTTTCACGTCGCCAGCATACCCACAACCGTCATCATGCTTACCACCATCGCCCGAATATTCAAGCTCAACATCTCCGTCATGACCAACATCTCCATACTAACTTGCATCATCCTCCCCCTTCCCATCCTCAACATCACCACCACTTTCCACACAACCAGAATATCGACTACCAACACAGAATAGAAATAATAATAACAAAAAAAATACTCATACGCATCTACATTACCAATTTCCTCCACATGTAGCTGCTTATCCGCCTCATCGGTATTATCAACATCATCATCATCATCATCATCATCACCACCACCACCACCACCACCACCACCATCATCATCATCATCATCATCATCATCATCATCAACATCAACATCATCATCAGCAGCAGCAGCATCAGCATCATCTCGTCACAATCATCAGCAGCAGCCGCAGCAGCACCATCATCAGAATCATCATCATCATCATCATCATCATCATCATCATCATCATCATCATCATCGGAATCATCATCATCATCATCATCATCATCATCATCATCATCATCATCATCATCATCATCATCATCATCATCATCATCATCATCAGCATTATCATCAGCATTATCATCATCATCATCATCATCATCATCATCATCATCAGGATCATCATCATCATCAGCAGCATCAGCACCAGCATCATCATCATCATCAGTATCATTATCAGCATCATCAGCATCATCCTCATCATCACCAGACGCAGCATCAGCATCATCATCATCACCAACAACATCGTCATCATCAGTGCACAACTATATTCTTCACCAGTTCCTCCACTTATGCCTGGTTCGGTCTCCCCATCATCATCATCATCATCATCATCATCAGCAGCAGCAGCATCATCAACATCATCATCA